GATTTGGCACTTATCCTTTTTGAACCTCATGAGATTTCCTTTGGCCCAATCCTCCAATTTGTCTAGGTCACTCTGATTTTTAGTCCTACAGTCCAGTGTATCTATTACTCCCCCCAGCTGAAGGAGTTGAAGCTGAATCTCCTACACTGTGGACAAATCCTCTAACCAGTGATAATGACTAAAGGTGCCCCCCACCAACACTTGTTTCTCACTACATTTGTGGACCTAGCCCCCTACCCCAAAATATTTTCCACATAGAATCATTTATCAAGTTCAACCTGAATGTTTGACCCAAACCAGTTCAATAAACATGATTTTTAAAATGATCATTTATCAAGTTCAACCTGAATGGAGGAAGTTTGCCAAAGTTCACCAAACTTTGGGGTAAAGTGTCCACACCTGAGGATAGGCTGGTGATCCAGACCAACCTTGACAGACTCAGAAAATGGGCGGACAAAAACCTGATGGCTTTCAACACCGAAAAATGCAAGATACTCCACCTTGGGAAAAAAACCCGCAGCACGCTTATAGGTTCAGCAGTGCTATGCTCACTAGCACCAAGGACAAGCTACGCTTACTAGCGCCACAGCTGAAAGGGACTTGAGGGTCATGATTGACCACAAGATGAATATGAGCCACCAGTGCAATGTTGCAGCTAGTAAAGCAAGCAAAACTCTGGCTTGTATCCATAGATGCTTCTCAAGTAAATCCCAGGATGTCATCCTCCCTCTGTACTCAGCCTTGATGAGGCTGCAGCTGGAGTACTGCATCCAATTCTGAGCCCCACAATTTAAAAAGGATGTGGAAAAACTTGAGAGAGTCCAGAGGAGAGCCACACATATGATCAGAGGGCAGGGGAACAGGCCCTATGATGAGAGGCTGAGAGCCATGGGACTCTTCAGCCTGGAAAAGCGCAAGCTCAGGGGGAACGTGTTGGTTGTGTTTAAGTATATAAGAGGTGTACATCAGGATCTGGAGAAACGCCTGTTCACCAGAGCACCCCAAGGGACAACAAGCCCAAACGGTCACAAACTCCTCCAAGACCGTTTCAGGCTGGACATAAGGAAAAACTTCTTTACTGTCTGAGTCCCCAAGGCCTGGAATAGACTGCCTCCAGAGGTGATGCAAGCACCTGATCTGGATTCCTTTAAGAAATATTTTGACTTTTATCTTGCTGGGATCCTTTGGCCCCAGCTGATTTCCTGACCCTGGGGTAGGGGGCTGGACTTGATGATCTTCCGAGGTCCCTTCCAGCCCTGATGTCTATGAAATCTATGAAATCTATGAAGCAGCGTTGATTCAGTAGATGATGCTCATCTAACTCAGCTCTTCCTGAAATAATATCCTTTCATGAAATCTATCAGCACTGAATTCTTGATTTGATATCTAATGGATGAGGCATAGAAGTAAGGTTTCCATGACACACAGGCCTGTGGCCAAAACTGGTGGTTTTGTTCAAATTCTAATGCAGGCAGTGACATTCAGTTGACCTAAATCTCTGACCAAAAGAGTAGCATTTTAATGGCGGGTGAGATGACCTACATAGGACTTTGTATAAAAATATGTTTGCAATCATACTGAGATCATACAGAAAACTTTAACATATTACCATCATTTTTATTTTAAACTAACATGTCAGAAGCTTTGTGATATTAGTATGACACATACATTAGAACAAAGAAAAGTAAATACTGAAGCACTTATTAAAAAATCAGTAGTAGCTGATAATTTGGATTATGGTAAGACAATTTGGCATATGTCTAAATCACAAAATTAATAATCATATGGTCTCTCTGTGTTTGTTCTTATAAAACAAAATAAACCAAAATGAATTGTGTTCAATCTCGGCCTATCATTTCAGCAATTTAAATTCCTACTAATACCTACATTTAAATAGATGGAGTAGATAGATACCTATACTCCCCAATTATCTCCTTCTGCATTAGGATTTAGCCATTTATCTTTAATCTTTTCCCACAGCTTTGTTTTCTAGGTCACAGGTCAGGGTCAGTTTGTTTATTAGGGAAGAGAGTGATTGGCAAGTTCAAAGTAAATACCCTTCCTCTAAATGTTGCTGATGACTGAATTAGTAACTATCCAAACAGTAAGTGTTTTATTATCTGTAATTAATGTAGAAAAAAAAAACACTGTTTAAAAAAATTCTAAAATGTTGTAAATAGTTCATGGAACCACAAAGATCCTTCCAAACACTTGCAAGAATATTTCTAGTAAAACACATCCTTATTTAAATGGGTCACCTATTTAAAGGGGAATATTGACACGTAAGCTAATTTTACCCTACAGAGAATTCACGTTTGACATCATCTGGCATTTGGACTGGCTGTCCAATCTGGGCTGAAAGCAGAACACAAATATCCTGATCAATTTTTAGAACAAATAGCATTATTTTAATTAGAATTGTGACCAGTGTGTTCATTTCCAAAGAAAATGCTGAAAGTCTTACTCATTTAATACCATGCTGAATAAAAATGATAGAACACTGGAGCACTCTCCCTAGGTGCTCCCTTTTGGTGCAGGAAAAAACTGCCACCACAGGCACACAATCATGATGGCATGGTGGCAGCTGAAGTCACCGCTACCCCCATGTGTCACAACTACCCCGGGGCACCCGGTTGTGTCTCTGGAATATGTATAGTAGGGAACCTTAGGAGGAGAATGGATTAAAGGATCTTTCAGTTCTTTCTATTTCCTATGCCTGAGATATTGGAAGTCCAATTTCAAGGTGCCTAAGCCAAAAGCACACTTCAATCAAAGATGTTTTCTTTTCTTCCGGTGTTCACACAGGGTAAGCATGGAAATCCACTTAATTGCAGCCATTTAAAAAACTGTTCATGCAATTAGGTGAGATTTTCTATTATCCATTAAGCAATTAACCAGAACTCTTAATACAAACAGATATATGAAGAAGGGTTAGGATTTTCAAAATTGATGCAATTAGGCAATTGATGTGCTTATCAGGAATACAATTAACTGTGCTCAGTTGTATAAAATTCCAATTCTTGTCAGACCATAAGACTCTAGCAGATTTTTTTTGTAGAGCTGAAAATTATTAACAATTATTTTCACAGTACATATGTACTCCAAAGTAAAACAAATCTAATTTATTATCGTGTCAATATAAAACATTGAACTAAGGGGACTGAATAGCTCAAGTTATCAAGAACTGAATACAGAATCTTTACCCATAATTTAAATGTACCTCTAGACCAGGATGGTTAGTGACCAAAAACAGTTAGTAATGTTTGTGAATACTGGCCATCTCTCTCTAGCTCCGTGAAGATACAAACAACAAATCACAATACAAAATAGTGCTATTCAATACTAATTCTCCAGCATCATTAGAAATAATTTGTCTGGGTGGAATTCATCAAAAGCTAATATATGAACACTGTACTACTAATGTACAGAATTTATACAGTAGCTAATTTATGCTTTATATCAGAAAATGATTTCATTATCCACGGCTGCCAGTACAGCCCAAGAAAAAAAAATCAAATGTGGGTGCCTATATCTAAACCTGTTTTTAGGAATCTAAGTCACTTTTGATAATGAAACTTTGGTGTTCCATAACAGAGTAGAGTAACCTAAGTAACTCCAGTCCACTCTGTCCCATTCCAGTGAGTTATCGAAGCAACTTTAAAGATCTGTGCCTTTAAAGGTCCTAAATCTCAACAAAACATATCTGTAGCTTTCATTAACTACAGTGGTATTTGACTGTCTTGCATGCCTGAAAAATAGTTCAAAATCAAAACAAGTGTTTTCAGAGACTACTAGACTATAGGCATCTATCTGAGGATTGAGATGAAAACACCCACTTCTCCACCCACTTCCAAGACTTGCTTCAAAACAAGCATCTCTTAGGTCCCTGTCACCTAAAGAAAAGAGAATACTGCCACAACCTAGTAGCATGAGGCAGCATCTCACCCTTAAGCAGGAGGAAAATTCAGGCAAGCACAAGCCCTGGTTTGGTTATTCCATAGCCATGGACCAAGGTTTTCATTTAAGTCCTTCTTCCTCCCCTGCTGCCTCAGCTTCAGTGCTTAGCTGCTAGAGCAGCCCAGATCAAACTTTGGGACTGGCTCAGCCAAGTCAGGCCACACCAGCTGGCTAGAGAGACCCTTTCCATGTCAGGAACTTGCATTTTCTTTTGAGAGTAGTTCAATGCAAGCTGCTTGGTGACCTCTGGCCATGGTCCAGTACCGTCCTGGGCATCCTTTATGAGATCTGCGAGCTGGGACAGCCAGAAAAGTTGGGGCTAGGACTCCCTCGTAGGGACAAGGCAGAAAGGAATCTTGCACAAGTACTCCAATCACTTGGTAGGCCTCCCCCAGGAAAGAAAAAAAGATGACCTCACAAGCACCTGGCACTACCAGTGGCCTTCTGCTCTAGGCAGGAAGAGTTGCAGAGATAGGACTGCCCTAATAGGCTTCTCTTGACCTAACTGGGAGCCGCAGGTTCTCAATAACTATTGAAACTCAGGGCTCATTTCTTTTGTAGCTAAAATAGATTGTGTTCCTAGTCTTATTATGTATCCAAAACTGAAGATGGTAGTCCAGGTTCACTTAAATATATATACACATATGTGTGTGTGTGTGTGTATATATATATATGTGTGTGTGTGTGTGTGTGTGTGTGTGTGTGTGTGTACTGCAAGAACTAAAGTTAATGGCATGTGTTACTTAGTGCAACACAGCACATTACTGCACTTTTGCAAATTTTCTGATTAAATAGAAATTCCATCTTACTTCCATGAAAATGTTTAAGGGAAAAATTATGCTGTCACCCTCAACCTAGCAGAATATGATGTTCCATGAGCACAAACTACACTCTGGCAATAGCTGTGTTTATCTTGTTGATCAACACCCATTTTGTAAATTTGTAATCTTACTTCCCTAAATGACAGCTGTAAAACAGAACTCTACTTAAAGTCTTATGTATGTGCAGCTTTAGTTTCAGTGGAAGTGGAGAACCTCCTTCTTTCCACTACCTGTTTATGGCATTTTTCAACAACCAATTGAGAAGCAACAGAGGAGTCAGCTGTGATATGTGTTACCCTTCTGAACTCAAACATACAGGAGATAGTAGAGAGAACTAACTTCTGCAATTAGGCTAAAGAAGCATTTTTAGAAAACTGGAACCCTTGTAAGAAAGATGGAGAATCCATTAGTTTTAGTTCCCCAACGAAATAATTCTGCTTCAAAGGAAAAGACCTATTACAATGTCATAAAATCAACAAATAAAGAAGAGACCAACAAAGAAACCAAGACCAGGTAAGTTTTTAACACTGAACTTTCAATGTTCTATTATCATATATGTGAATTTAGGGCATGGTTATTTTTATGTATGTCTGATTTCCATAAAAAAAATCATGAATTGCAAGACTGGGACTTGTACACACAAAATATTTATTTACCAAAGGAATGTTTTTTTTAAGACCAGGAATAAGAAACAAATAAGATAATAAACCGAACAAGAAAAAAGCAGCTTTGAGAAATGGTTTTTAAAATGCCATCTAACTTAAAAACCTAAGAAAGTTTTTTAATAGTTTCAGCTGATAAGAGGGCAAGTATTTTCTTCTTCATTAAAAGTGAATCAATCAAAACAATCTGATCTGCCTATACTGGCTCACTAGCATTCAAACTTTTTTTCTTGTCTTCAAAATAACTGAAAGACTGGAAATGAAAATACTTTCATTACCCTTCACATGCAAAGGTGTAAAGGGGAAATTAATTTATTTGTATGATATATGTGGGAGAAATAGCATCAACATTCATGTAACTAGATGCAGGAGGAAATTAGTAATGCAGAGAGAGAGATTAGTCAGAGGATGTTTGAAAAAAAAAAAGAAAAGAAAAAAAAACCCCTCTCTCAAAACTTGTTTTAATTGCTGCTTAAACTCTCTTGTAGGGTTAAGGAAAAGAGAAATAGGCTGAGCCTTCTCCTGCAGAAGACTGAATTCCATGAAAATGACCATCTTGACAAACCTGAGACTTTGACACAAGTTTCAAGGTGAGCTTTGTAAAATGTAGAATACTTTCTTTCAGAGCATGGCTGTTTCTGATTCAGAAGAGTCCATAGATTTTTCTGTGTGCATTCAGGCTTTACATAGAATAATACCTTGATGATCTATTTCATTTTTAAGTTTAGCATAATGCACTGCAAGATTTCTAACAGGGACCTACATACCAGTATATTTAATGATGCTTGTAGACCAGGTGGGCCAAAATGTCATTTCTCTGTTCACAGTAGTATCTTCTTTTCAGATAGTTCCATAGACTTCAAAAAGGACTATTTGTGGTGTTAGATAATATTCAATATGATTATCAGTAGCACAATCTGACCCTACACACTTATTTCATTTCTATAATAAACAAAGTTCTCCTGTAGTGAAGGAAGGGTGAAAGCAAAGTGGGATGAAAAAATGTATACAGGATGCAAGGATGCATTGTATATAACCACTTATAATCTAGTGCAAAAAGAAGTTGTTTCTACACATACATTATGAATTTACCAACTGATTGTCACTGTAATTATTATCTTTTTAAATATATTTAGTGACATCTTACTTTGTAAGTTGACTCATAGATTGTACAAAGGAATTGTCAGGCTTTTATGTAGTTAGTAGATGTTTCTATTTACTTGGAAATCATATGGTTCCTTAGGTTGTTCTTCTTTCAAGGAATCAGGTCGCCCTGGATGACATGATATCATAATGGCATTAAATATATAGTACCAGCTTTTCCACTGAATCAGAAGCTGAGCTGATACTAGTTTACCTCTGAATGAAAAAATTGCATTTAAAAACTATGTAACTTTTCCTATGATGTATGATTTCCCACTGTAAACCCTGCACTGAAGCCATGCACTGCACTAAACCCATTAGGAGTTTGCTGAGAATTGATTCTGAGAATTGTCTCCCACTGTAGGCAACATTTCATTAACAAAAATACTTTGGTGATAAGGGTTTTCAGTTTCTTTCTTCCCACCACAGAGAGAGAGAGGCTCAGCTCAGGACATTTAACTATTTTACACGTTTTTCCTCTCCTTTTTTGTTTTATTTTATCATTAAACTTTGATCACTTTAGACAAAAAAAATCAGGCTTTTAGTAATGAATACCATGGCAGGGTATAAGGTCCATCAATGACCAGAACGCTGCCTTATTAAGAACATAAGGGATTCTGTAAGGCTTCCTAAAAACTGACTGTCTCCATGCACAAATTTTTACAGTGTGTATTGCTCTAGCACCCAAGCACCTCACAAAATCAAATGATAAACTCAAGTTCATGATAAAATATTATCCTTTTTACCCTGAAAACTATTTTTCTCTTTTCTTTTTCTTCTCTCCTTTGTTGGTGTTAGGAGAAGGTTAAACTGGGAAGAGAGTTTGGCCATTTCTTCAGAAGTACTGAGTCATTCTGATTGAATGCAAATAGAATTCACTTCCTGGAAGTCTTTTTTTTTTTTTTTTGTATTTTATCTTGGCATATAAAACCATGACAAATCTATATCTAATAGGATGAGACACAGTGGGCATGTCTATACGTGCCATTAAAGTGCAGCAATAAACTCCAGAGCTTATTACCCCAGAGTTTACTGCTCCCAGGAAGCTCCCATGTGTGCCATTTACATGTGCACCTGGATGGCAGCACATTGAGCTGGGTTTCAATAGCCTAGGCTGGCAGGGGACCTGGGGGAGTGAACGTGGGGCTGCTCTATCTGGGCTTAGTGTACTGTGGAGAGGCTGGCTAGGACAGAAGGGTATTCATTCTGGGGCTAGCAGGAAGGCAGCCCCCTCACTGAAGCACTCTTGTGCCCCAGCCAGCTGGGTTAGCATATACACGTGCACTGCTGCTCACAAAAATAAACTTTGCTGCAGGGTTGGTAGGTTAGGGGGGCTGCCTGTTGCAGAGTTTATTAGTTTCCTGCACCCTAATAGGGGCACATGTGTAGACACTGAGACATTTATTGTGTCAGCTTCACAGTAAATTTCTCATGTAGACATGCCCGGTTTCATACCAGCTTAGGCAGATGTTGTATTTTTAATAACCATAGTTATTCTGATCACTAATTACACTTCAGCTGTTTAAGTGAAAGACACTGAGACTTCATACGGATGTTACACTGAGAAATTTGAGGTGTTAGGTCAAAAAAAGCCCCCTGATCTAATTCAGTGATTAGGTGCTGGAAACCTTATCTAAAGTAAGTCAGGGGAGGGGGAGGGGCAGGTGGGACCGGGAAGACTATCGGGGTCTGTGGGGTGGGTAAGGAGGGACTGGGGAGCTAGTGGGGTCCACAGGGGGGGCTAAGGGGGTAGGAGTTGGCAAGAATAAAGAGCCTCTCTAATCCTGCCTGACCCCACCTGGACACCCCTCCAACTGTCTCCCAATGCTGCCAAACCACCCCCAAACCCGAAAGTCATTCCTGGTGCCAGTTTTGCCAGTGATCACATGTGCCTGGAACTCAATTGAAGTAAATTGTAAAGCGGGGAAGGGGTGGGAAGATTGGGGAGGCTAGCAGCTTTGTGCAAGGGACTAGCAACTCTGTGGGGGGTTGTAGGGTTTGGTTGTGTCAGGAGGTGATGTGACTCCACCAGATTGTTGGTTAAGACATTAAGTGACATGGCTACCCGTGACTGGTATTCGGTGATGCAGTGGCGGAGGAATACCTTAACCTGCACTATCATGCGGACAGTGCGTGATTGCTAGTAGCCTAACCAATCAGGAGTTACCCCTAGAGCATGACTGGCCGGACCAGCATGCTGAGGCCTCCAGAATGTTCCATCAAGGGGGGACCCTGATTGGCTAGGGAGTCTATAAAGGGGACTGCGCGCCTCAGCGTAGGGTCCCCAGATGCTCCCGAACTCAGGAAGACAGCCTGATCACCTGTCTTGTCTGGACAGACCCCTAGGCCTCTAGCTAGATTCCTAGCATAGGCTACCACAGCTTATAGCTAGACCACGCGCTATCCGGAACGCCCTGTGTGTTGCCCAACTAGACATCATACTTGTACTGATAGTATTTTCAGCTGCAGTCGACCTCCACAATTACACCTTGCTTCTTACTCGCCGCTACCCATCATCTGTTCGTTCTCCACACCACGTCGTCTGTGTCTACCTGCCACTGTAAATAGTATTCAACTCGTTAACCATCTTGTTGGTTTGTAAGTAAATTTATGAATTTTCTTCACCTACTACTTGTCGTGCTTTTTTCCTCTCTCACACTTGGCATCCCCGAGCATGTCTGGGTTGGGGTCACTACTCAGTGCCCCACTCGACACGCAACTGAGGCCTTTTTCCAAACACCATCCTTGAATTATGGCCCGCAGGTTGGATCAGGAGAGCTCTCTGCCACCCCAACCAGGGACTATTTTTAGACCCCTGACCTCTTCCAGCCCCAGAAAAACAACCCCCCTAATCTGCCTGCCACTCCCCCGACCCACCTTACTTTGATTGCCTCCTAGTACCAACAGATCTCAGTAAAAACAGCACCAGGAGCAAACTGCAAGATCGGGACATTTGGCAGGATCAGGAGATGGGGGTTGCTGGTCTGTGGGGGAGGGTTGTCCTTTTGGAGGTGCACGGAGGGGCTAAGGGACTAAAAATAGCCCAGTGGCATGGGTGGTGGGAGTAGGAAGAGCATACCTGATCTGACTTAGTGCACCTACAAGATATAGTTAAATTACATTGGATTGGCCATTTTTTAACCAATCTAATCTTCTTGAAACTTCTGTACAGTTCACATTTCAATTGACTTAACTAGGGATCTAAATGTAAGGTCTGCACATGGGTGAACTAAGTGAGATTGGGTGGCCATTTTTAATGTGATCTAACCTCCCCTTCTATGCATTCTCCAGCATCAAACCACCTGCTCAGTTAGGAGACACCTTCAAAGGAAGCTGATAGGTGGCAGGTCTATGGAGTATTTCCTTTTTCCTACAGACATCATCACTTCTGGTTCTGACTCAGATAGCTGTTTTTCACTTACATTTTGCTCTCAGTCAGGTATTGAAATGACAAATATCCTGTTTCATGTCTACTGATGTAAAGTTATTCAATGCAGTGTTGTTTTGGTTTTTGTTTGTTTGGTTAGCTGGTTTGTTTTGACCAGGTAGGTGCTTTTTCCATGCAGAAACCCTTTTGAGTAGTTTTGATGTCAAGCAGGATATACCATTTTATGGTGGTAGTGAAAAATGCCAGTCGTTACAGGGAAGTTAGAAATTCCACTAATCTTTGCCGTACAATAGGGTCAAACTGAGCAGATCTTGGGTTTTGGCCCCTCATATGAAAGTACTCGCTGCTACTTCTAGGATTTGGATTTATTAATGATTTGATCCAGATCTAAGGTGGCAAACCCATACCTCACAACCTTGCCATATTATGTATACTCTGGACTACATCCTTGGTTTGAAGTTGTCAGGTTTATCTTTCACAACTACAAACTCCACTCAAGAGCAATACCAGCTTGTCATCTTCAGTCATATGTGTATGTATAGTTCAAGGATCTACAGCTTTTGTGTTTCCTACAGAGGAAGGATTCTTTAAGAAGATGATGTATCCTTTTTTTCAACTGTATAACTCCTCACTTTGTTGGTCTTATGCTACAATTAGAAACTAATCTCCTCAGCATTGACACCTCTTGAAAACGATGCTCCGACTTAAAACTGTATTCTTCTTTGTCATGAGTTCACTGAGGAGGTGAATAATAATTTGCTCCAAGAACAATATTGCCATTACCCTAACATTTCCTTCCAAAACTGGCTAGAATTTCAGCTATTTTTTTCTGAATTCATTCAATTTGCCAGAAGAAGTGACACTACCTAAGTTGTAGGATAAAGGAGCTTTAAGCCACTGTTAGAAAAGGATTGAACCATCCCACTTCTTGAAAATATTTCAAGGGCCAGGGTCTAAGGATCAGTGTTTATTTCCCATCGGGAGAAAATTGAGTTAAGGTCCTGAAGTGGTCAGGAGACCTGGGTTTTATTCACAACTTGTTAGGAACTTCCTTTAAGAACAATGCATTATATTTCTAAAGGCCTCCAGATTTGCAATCTGGTGACACCATTTACTTTCACCTCTCCAATGTTTTGCAATGTCTGATGAGAACTACTATATAATAGCAAAATATTATTAATTAGAAATTGTCTAAATAAATTAGACTACTTAGTGTAGAGCTATGTCAGATTCCAAGTACCTTCTGTTCATCTTAGATTTTATTCCATTTCTATTTTACAGATATAAAAATACAGTCCACATTCTTGTTCAAGATTAAAGTGTAACTAAAACAATTTCCCAAACTTTACATCAATACAAGTGAAATATTTGCTCTCTGTTGTCTGTCAAATACAGTGGAAAGCTTGAGATCAATGAGGAGGAATACATGCACCTTGATGCATGTTTATGTGTGTGTGTGTGTGTGTGTGTGTGAGAGAGAGACAGACACTGTGTGTGTGTGCGTGGTTTAAAAGCCATCATCTCAAAACAGCATGACATTTGAAAAAATGTTTGCGGTAAACAATACATATGCTATTACTCTTATGAAGCTATTGCCTTCATCATAGTGCTTTAACTTTGTTTTCACACCATAGTATTTCCTGTCTTCCATTTAAAAATAGACTGTGGTTACAAAGCCTCAGATCGACTGCAATCGAAACTACATTTCTGCAAAGAGTTTAGCAGCTAAGCCTTAATATTTTCAAAGTTTAAGAATGTACTCAACCCGGTTCTATTATGATTTGCCTTTTCCTTAAAGATCTGGAGCACTGTGGCAAACTGAAGAGAAAACACTCCTTTTAAAAAGGGTGTAATACAATAGGCAAAACTGTCAGAAAAAAAATTACCCATATGCCTTTAAAGTCTCTAGGTTCATGAGCTTCTTCTATAAGTAATCTAAACAGACACCTTGTGAAATATGACAAAGCAGAAGTACTAGCAGATAACATATGTTACGGTAGCTTCATAAATACACAAAGCACACACTTCATCAAAAACACTTTTTTGTGTCTTGTACAGTGTGTCCCCTGAAGACGTAGTGAAATGGGGTGAATCTTTTGACAAACTGCTTTCCCAGAAAGGTTAGTAGAGTTTTCCTCTCCCTGAAGACTATCATTACCTGATGGAAAATGACACAATGTAGGGGTGCAATTAAATAGACCTGGCAGTTACCTAAATTAAGTATGATGGGTCATTTATAGTGGTATGAGTTTCTTCTCAGCTTGTATGCTTAGGCAGTAGCATTCTGTCAACTACTGAAAATGAAGAATTGATTGGTAACTTTTAAGTTTGGTTTTTCATCAGACAAAAGTAATACAACAATAAGACACACAATAAAGGCTTTCTTCAATAAAGAGTGAAAAGGTGACAGTAAGTAATTAAATCATTGTTTTGTACCTCATGAGTAATGAGCTATTCTGCTGCACAAAGTCTCATAGAATACTTGGATAAAATCCATCAAAGACTGGAATTACTAAGCAATTGTTTAGAAAAATATTCACTGATATTAGGAGAGGACTTCATCTACTTAGCTCTAGATATTTAAGATTAACTCAGAAAAACTGCTGTGTTAATATAAAGCACGAAAGCTGATTAATAGAAAAAAATCTGAAATCTATTGACTCCCTCACTATTTTGCCTCTCCCCAATATAAAGTAATAATATGTCTGTGTCCTAGTGATCTGATATTTTACAGGTTACTTAAAGTTTCTTTCTCTTCTCACTAAAATATCTATTTGTGACTATTTGTTTGTTCAAGGGATAAGTAGCCATGGAGTGGCTAATATGGAGTTTACTATGGAGGCTATTCAACTAAACAATGGGAAATGCATAGTGATGGAAAATGTCTTGAATTGTATCAGAAAAGAAACAAAACATAAGGAAAAGTGTTTCAGAATGTATAGATGCTTAAAACAATCGAATTTTACTTTTTTATTTCTGCAGTCCTTTCTCAGTTTCATCAGTGGGATTTTGCTTTAGGACTAGAATAGGGTGGAAATTTATTAAGGAAAGTTTTTCCTAATGGAATATATTGGCACGTCCCAATGAGAATCATGTGCGGTTTTAGACATCTCAAACTGCACACAGTGCACGTGAACCCATTCTCCACACAGTTGATTTGTAGTGTGGAGGGATTTTTTTTTTTTGACACTGGGAAATCCCAGTGTCAAAAAAAAATGCCACAGAAAAAAGGAAGATGGCACGTGGCAGCAGCATGTGCTGCCAGAAAAGGAGTCTGGCCAGCTAGGGCCATGCTCTGGGTGCAGGCCAGGTTCCAAGTTGCCAGCTTGGCACTGCTTCTGCTCCAGGAGGCACCCAGAACCCCAAGTAAGGCTGCTGGGGCCAGCCCCAGCCTCTTCTACCCCATCCAGAGCAATTTGCTGCATACCAGAGTACACATGCAGGAGCATGCTGCTGCTATTTGTGCAGTGGGAAATACACGCCTCTGCAAATGCATGTTCATTGGGATGCACCCTATTTGTTTTCAAGTTAACATCAGAAAAGTAGCTGGTTCTGAAGGTGGCACCTTCAGTGCATCCGTTCAGGTAGATGCATCCTACTGCAACCATTGTGAGTTGTCTTTGAATATTTTCAAGTTGGTTGTAGACAGATTTAAAAGTAAGTTAAAGAGATGGCTAAAGATTTTTTTTCTGAAAATATAAGCTGGATGAGATGTCAGGAGGCAGGAGGTGTTTTTTAAAACTACAATAGGGATGTAGAAAGTCACAGAGCTAACAGGTTATTTTGGATGTGACCAAGGTGTTAATACGAATGTTTATGTACAGGATTTTTTTTCTATGTGAGCTTCATATTAATGATGAGCAGCATCCTGCATGATCTCTTGTTTGAACAATGGTGAAATATTCACTGAGAGCGCAAAAGCACAGGAATGGAGTCCTAAAGAACCACTGTTTGTAGGTCCTATATCCAAGAAATGCATCAGCTTTAGTAGAGTTGTTTCTGAAACAGCAGTGTAAATGAAAGTGGTCAGCCCTGAAAGAAATCATTCCTACACCATTATTAAATACATTTTCAATAGAAATTTGTAAGACATAATTTCAGAAGCAGTTTAACGTTGGTTTTTAAACTTGAAAAAATAATTGACATAAAAGAATTATGTTTCCCTGACAGGGCAGACTTTTTAATGATTCAGTTAATTTAAAACATTGCAATGCTCACTTTTGCAGCTGGACAAGAAGCATTTGTAAGGTTTCTGAAAACTGAGTTCAGCGAGGAGAACATTGAGTTTTGGATAGCCTGTGAGAATTACAAGAAAAGCAAAGACTCTCGTGAACTTCTTTCACAAGCTAAGAAAATTTATGAAATATTCATACGAAAAGAGGCTCCAAAAGAGGTACAGTAAAAACATTTGTGAGGATATAAAGTGCTTGACACAAGCTGCACCTTATAGCATTTGCCCTTCAGAAACACAGATACAGATACATTACCCAGCAGTCACAAATAGTTCAAATTTTGGCACTGACACAAGATTGCTATATCTTAAGAATCAGACTGCTACTTGAAAAGAAGGGATGGGAGCCAACCTTCACGGACCCCTTCTCTCAAACTTCACTCTTTCATATAATATTAATTTAATAACCCTAGAAAAAAGCATAGTTATTAATATGTCACCCTAGTCAAAGGAATTTGTAGAACTTCTCATTCCTATACATTAAATCATGTTGAGTAAATTAAAGGTATGTTGCTGAGATAATATATTTCCAAATACTAGTCATTTCTCAAATTCTATCTGCTGCCACTTATGCTTACTTCCAGAACAGTAGAAATAGTCTTTCAATCTGCTAAGCCAGTAATTACAGATCCAATGATTGTATTATTGAGATTTCAAAAGCATTCTTTAATAAAACAAGTGCTAAAATAGACCATTAAATTAAACACATCTTTGCAGGTAATGAGTAAAAACAGAAAATATTTATTGAGTGATGCAGGGTTTCACAGAAGGAAGATCTAGAATAAATTAAAAGAACCTATATTGTAATAGAGAACAAACGCACAGAGGATAAAGAGTTCTCCTTTATACTTTTCTATTAGCACTAGTATTTATTCTAGGACTTTATTTATTCTATTGCCCATCAGGAATGACGGGGGGGATGGGCAGACAGGGATGGAGCCCCATGTCCAGCCCCGTGCCCCCAGCACCATTCCGGGTCCAGCCCTGCTCTACCACCCCCACCCCAACTGCTCCAGGTCTGGCCTTGCTCCACCACTACCCCCCAGTCTGGGTCCGTGAGTCTGGCCCCGCTCTACCCCCCTTCACTGCTCTGGGTCTGGACCTGCTCCAAACCCTGCTACCACTCCAGATCTGGCCCCGTTCTACCCCTCCCCCAGCTCCAACCTTTCTTTATCCCCCTCACCACTCTGCATCCGCCTGGTCTGCATCCACTCCCTCGCCACCCCCCTGCTGCCTCCCCCTCCCTGCCAGCTCTTCTTGGGGGTGTTGGGGCCAGGAAGTTGGAGGGCGCCACCACCATGATTCCCCCTTTGCCCTTGGCCAGGGAGTCATGGGGAAGCCCTGCTGCTTGGGTGCCCAGGGCATGTTTGCCATCACAAACCATCACAAACCATCACAAACTTCCCTGGCAGCAGCTCAAACTTGGGCCTGCACAGTCCGGGCCGCACAGCCAATCGCTGCCCACCCTCTCGGCAGTTCATGTGCAGTTGTCCAAAAGCGTTACAGACAGACAGACACACAGACAGGCAGGCTAAGCCTTTTATTATATTAGAATAGAAGTCCTTTAAAATTGGGGCAAATTGTATTTGTCATTCCTTTACACTGTACAGCTGCAGTAAATGGGTCCTTGCGTAAATGAGTCAAAGAGCAGTTTTCCTTATAACCAGAATAGGGCTGGACAGGCTGATAGGTAACAAACTCCAACTGTACTCATTTGGCTGAGCAAGGGCTATCAGGTCAAGCCCCTTTGACATGTCTTTGTATTGTTAGTACTTCTGATTTAATATGAATCTATGAGATGTGAGCAGATTATGGATTAGCTAGATTGCCTTTGTTTTATCAAGCATTCTTTCCTAAACATTTGTATAGGAAGTGTTAAATATTAGCAAGTATCTTTTGAGGTAGCACAGAAAAAGTATCACTGCTCAGCCTAAGGGATAGGTTTTAAACAGTAATGAAATGTAAGACTTTAAATTTCCCTGGTTTGCACTGGGGATTACCACTGCTCCTTGATGAGTCGGCTTTCAGCTCCCAAAGTGCTTTCAACTCATGCTTGCTTTTCCCCTTGCATCATATATCATATTAACTCAGATATAAGAGGATATTATTCCCCAATCAGCATGGGGGAAAAATCCCCTCATTTTATATTAGGATATCAGCAGTCTGCTCCCCTTCCCACCCCTATTAAATGCATTGTCCCTATCCATTAGATACACTGGCTAGAAGCAGCATGTTCTCAGATATGGAAACCATCTATGAAGTTGATTGAATGGAGTCCATGCTGAGCATACCCATAAAACACTTGGCATATTAGTATGTTGGGCAAACACAGTAATGGAACCTTTTCTGGAGTTTGGGGCCTTTAAAATGTGCACATGTTCCTTCCACCTGGAACTAGCACTAGGCCTGAAGGTATTGCAATACCAGGCTGGCACCAGGAGGGCCAGGATCATCCATGATGCCAAAAAGTGATGCAGAGAGGACCACTTAACCATTCCTCCCTGCTGCATCTCCAAGGACTTTTAATCCTGGACTCTTCCCTACCCCAACAATTGTATCTTGCATGTTTTTATTTGCAACTGTATGTGTTTTCCTAACCATGTCCCTATTGCGATGTGGTATTGTTGTGTGGGGTCTCCTGTATATTCTCTGCTTTGTAAGTGCCATACCTGTTTGTAGGCATTGCACTCACTGCTCCCCTTTTTCTTTCCCCATTCTTATGTCCCACCACCCGGCTTTAGTTAGCTGCATCTTTCATACGTAACTTAGTTGTAATTCCACCCCTACCCCTATTCTCTACTATGTAGCCTTCTACTCAGGTCTTCCTGTATTTCCTTATGCTTTGAACTTGTCATCTGAACTTTAACATTTTCTACATTTGACCTTAGTGAAAAGGATGAGATACTGATGGGAGCCTTTTTAAAAAATAAGGTTTAAATAACAATAATAATAATATATTTCATGTTCCAGATCAAATCAGCCAAATCATATCAATTGAGCAGTACTCAATCATTCCAAAAATCATATTGACTGAGCAAGCAGAACTCAATCATTCTAAAAAACATGTATGCTGCTAAAACCGGCAAGCATGCTGTATCCAAGGCTCTCACCCTGGGACTTCAGATACTTCCAGACCCACTGGCAGGCATCCTAGATGTAGGCCCAAGCCTGGGGATCTTGGGATTCAGATGCCCCCACTGAGACACTTGATCTGATAGGAACCTATCACAAAGCTAGGTTGGTGCAGCCCATCTGAAAAAGATATAGTGCCCATTGTGCTCAGTCCACCTCAGTACCAACTCTTTTCAAGTCATGGCCAATCACTACATAAAACAAATCTCAACTTGCTCTTCACTGCCACAGCTGAACAGTGCCTTTCTTTCCCATTTCCAATAATTCCTGTTTCTTCACAAGCCTTAAATGTCTGACAAACATCACCAAACTCCTGTGTAGCTGAGTGGCTCTGTCACCCCCTCTCTCAACCTGTCGCACGTGATTAGCGTAACCCCATTCTTTATGGGGTGGAGATGGACAATGCAGCACTGTGCCTCATCGGCATATAACATTTTAGAGGTTCCCAAGACATGTAACAAAAAAACCCAAGTCCCGTTTAGCACATGGATCCTTTGTGGAGGGTATCTGGAGTACACACACATACCATATAGTGTTGGGCTGTGGGGTTACCATGGCTTGAAATGCTGTTGACTCTGGTGAGACCCAGTTCAATGAACTATGTAAGTCATGAGCCTCTTGGCGCTGGACTAATTTAATGTACAGTGGACACATCTACACAAGATGCTAAATGCACAGTAGACTAATTCTACTGTGCATTAGTGCATCATGGTGAAAGTCATGTTAATGCGCAGTACAATTAGTCTACTGAGCATTAGCATCACTCTGCTGTTTTTGCCCTCCTCTTTGTCCCTTTCTCCCCCTTACTGTCACATGTAGCTCACTTCCACATTGTGCTTGTGGAGGGAACAGAACCTGAGCAGGGTCTGGCAGTAAGGGAGGGCAGGAAGGATGCAGGGGGAAGATGTTGGGGGGCAGAGGGCAAGAAGGCCATCTGACCCCACCCCAGCCACTATTTTCCCTGCTGTGGTAGTAGGAAGGGAATCAATTAAAGACAACACTCAGATAATTGGATTCTATACCTGGAAAATTATAATAAATTTATAATTTTTCCATTTATAGAATCTAATTATTTGTGGGGGTTGTTTAGGCTTATTTTGTATTTGAGTAAATATGCTAACAGGATGTGGGTTATAATGGCTAAGAAGAATTTTGCATAGCAGCTGTGAAAGCCAGCTTCTTTATATGCATTGTTCCTAGTTCCCCTTCCTAAGCTGATTGTCTATAAGAGCTAGTGATAATTGCATCTTGACCAAATAATGACATCATAAACTATAAATATATATATTTTTATTTGATGCATGGAATGTTCTCCACAAGAGTATCCCTGGTGGAGGTGGAGGAGCGGGTGTTCCAGTGTGTCTTTTCTACAGTGCTCCAAGTAGTAGTTGGGAAGCTGAATGGCCCTTGATTTGTCCATTGGTGGGAAAGGACAGGGCGCTATAACTGGGAAGCCCAAATTTCAGGAAGTTATTTCTACTTTGAACCACCAAAAAACAATTTTTACCATCTAGCAAAGCACTTTAAAAGGCCCTTTTTCTGACTCCAGTTGGAAAGTATCTCAGAATTTGGGGACTTGAAGGACAGATAGTTCCATTAACTGATTTTCAGTTTTTTTGTGTACAAGCTATTTGTTATTGGTACACTTTTGCAATATATCTGGATGGTGAGGAAGGCATATTTCAATTAGGAAAATAAAAAGTTACACATAAATTAAATGAGCTAGTCTAAATGTTGGCTGGAAATTATTGTTTCTTAAATAAAGTGAGTATTATACAGCTAAACACTTTTTTATATTAAACATCTTTTCCTTGACAATTGCCAGTGTTAATACAGAAGTAAATTTAAGCTGTAACAGAAGAGCACTTTCATATGACTTCTCAAAATCCATTAAAATTTTTTGCTTAACACACTAATCAGAATATCCTAACCCTCCTGCTATTAAGTCTCTCCATACAAATTAGAAAATTAAAACATTTAAAGTTTTGAGCCTGAAAAAATGTGAGTATCTTTGACTCTCAGTGGCTTCCATGAGAATACTCTATTGGACTGAACACATTTCTCTGTATCAAGTGTACAGAGAAACTCACATAGTATCTGTGATTACTAGTTTTTACCTTTATCTAAGATATCTTTCTATAGTGACTCAGTTGTTAAATGGTATTTATCAAATGTATTAACCAATTAATAGAGTTTACAAGACTTACCTCTAGTTGGACGTACACATTTTTTCATAGGAAGTAGTTTTCTCATTTAGAATATTATTGTTATTGATGATAATGCTTGAAATAATGAACTATATGTTTTTTTCATTCCTTTTTGCAGGTTAACCTTGATTTTCACACCAAAGAAATCACAAGTCAGAACATTGCACACCCCACTCTTAGTAGCTTTGATGCAGCTCAGGCCACAGTGTACAGGCTGATGGAGCAAGACAGTTACCCACGCTTCCTGAGGTCTGCTGCTTATTCAGATCTGCTTAAGGGGATGCATGGCAACCATCCTGCTCCTAGAAGACGATCACGCTCTTTTACTTTCAATGAATTCCAGGACGTGCAATCAGACTTCACCATCTGGCTATAAAGAAACTTAACCTACTTAGCCTCTAAGTACTGTAGCAAATAATAATATACAACATCTTAAGACCAAATCTTTTTGATGATGTAACTCTGCTTTGCTCTACTTATTTAAGTGGAGTTACTTCTATTCATTCCAGCTAAGGATCTGGCTCAGAAAGCTGTATAGTGATTAGTTTCACTTAATATAAAAAGATGTGCAGCATATTGGCAAGATGTGTTAAACATGAAGTATTCATATAGTATATTGTATCTTTTAAGTCTCAGCTGGGAGAAACTATTAATCACTCTTTATAAAATGATATAGAGCAGTGAGAGCTTTAACTCTACGTGGTGAAGACCCTGGACCTGTAATATTTAGAATGCACAGTCACCATCAGTCTATTTACAAATCATTTGCACATAATTAATGTTGTTGCAATATTTCTTACACTAAGCAGAAAATAGTTGTGGTACTCTTTCATACAGAAAACACACAGAGACATTAATTAGGTGGAAAGTTAAATTATAATGATTTTTAACTACAGTTGGAAATCTCCATATTCTAGGAGACACATTGGGCAAGGCTTATTTAATTTTATAGTGATACATACTATATTTTCTTATTACATATATTTTCATATCCTCTATTTAAATTAATCTGTGTTGTTAAGCTTTGTGATAAACTATTTTATTATATTATTTCTAGTTAAATGAATAGTAATGGGATAAGAATATGCAATTTAGAATGTTCTATCTAATTAAATAATGTGATTAATATTCTAATTAAATAACAGTTCAAGAATTGGGGGTTTTGTTATATTCATTTATAAGTTTTGTAAACTTGGGAAGCAAGCTTTGAGTGCGAATTTTAGTAATCGTTGACATATCCTTAAAATGGGGATACATTACAACTGCAAAGTCAGTTACACATTACATACACATTATTATATATCTGTACATATTATTCCTGCTTAAGGAAAATATGCTTATATATACTTAACCTTGAGCACAATCGTAACGTACCTAAGAACATACTTATCTGTATGCTGGTTTTTAAGTCCTTTGATTAATCTGGGGCAGATGCTCTCGGCAGAATATGAGGCATCTGACAGTCATGGAATTAGAGCCCTTTTGTCCCAAATACACAGGCCCTGATTTTTGGCTTGTTTGTTCCAAGTTGATATGTCCTCAAATGGAAAGCTTGTCTGGAGGACAGCATTATTCAGGATGAGACTCAGAATGTCTTCATTGGGTCTCCCCTGTGGTTTCAGTTCAAGCTGCTGAATCTTTCATTTAATTGAATGTCTCCACTTCATTACTGTCCATGTGCAAGATCTTTCCTCTCATTCAAAACCTCATTGAATGAAAAAAAAATGCCTCTAGACCCGGGAAAAATGTCTCACTACCATCTTTATATTATTTGCTGTATTGGAAGTTAAAAATCTGGAAGTATAGGGCAGTGAATAATGGTAGAACCAAAATAGAAATTTCTTTTGGTTTCTTAGCAAAACCAAACTCAATTCATTTTGGGACAAGCATAATATTCAATTTTACCCTTGTTCTGGTTTTCTTTTTATTTTGTTCCTTCATGGTGTTAACTGCTTCCGTCATCTCAA